AATTTTCTTGTAGATTTTTAACCACATTTAAAGTTTCTTCCTTCCTTCCTTCCTCCCCCTCCCTCCCTCCCTCCCTCCTTTCCTCCCTCCCTTCCCTCCTTCCTTCCTTCCTTCCTTCCTTCCTTCCTTCCTTCCTTCCTCTTTTACTATTCACAAAACAATTTTTGTAATGTAGCATTTTTGTTTCTGTGTTATTTTGCTTTTTTTCAGAAAACTATTCATGGTGCCTATCTTTTTAAATGTGTGGGTATAAAGTTATCCATGGTTTTTTTTTTTTAATTTTTCTATTAATTTCTATACAGAAGTTTTTAATGCTGATATCACCATTTGGGCATCATTTTTGCTTTGATGACAACTACAGAGAGTGGTATATATTAAAAAGAAAATATTTGGCAATTCCAAGTAAATTTTCGTAAGTGACAACAGTAGGCAAAACCTAACGAGGGCGGGCTTTCTTGTATGTCTAGACGGGGGACTAGATCATCGATGATATTTTTCAGGCGCTAATTAGCCTGCTAAGTCTCCATCATGAAGTCTACACACTGGATGCATCAAAGTGATCATTTTCGCTCAGTGTTTTTGTTCCTCTGAAGTCTGACCGTGGCTCAATCTAACTGTGATGGTGAGAAGGTAGAGACATTTCCCCAGCGCCATAGAAACCATGTATGGTTGAAAATTTCCCTAACACTCTCCTGGGACTGGAGGCTGGGAAAGCCATTGCTGCAGGTGACACGTCAGGAGCCAGGGCTGGGTTTTGGGCAGCCCTCCTGTCTTTTGACAACACTGGCTGGAAAGCCAAAAACAAAACATAGAATAATCCCACGGTCCTTCACCCCCACCTGCCCCTGGCCCATCCTAAGACATTTTAAAGTAGAAATGTCTTTTTACCATACTGTGAGCTATGTGTTTCTTGGAAAGAGTGGCTGACAACAGATATTTGTAGAATAACTAGAGACTTGACTTGACCCAATGGAGACTTAGGGGTATACTTCTCGAGGTTTGACTTCTGCTCATGAAACTGTCAAGACCTCATTTGCATTAATAACTAGAAGAGCTATTACAAAATTACAGCGGTGTGATTATCACTGCATTTTCTCGGGTCCAGAAGGTTTACTGACTAGCATCTGGTTTGGTAGTGTGCTGGAGCCCATCTGACTTATCTCCTTAAAATCATGCTGCTAGGATTAGATGTGAAGTCTAGATTTGAAAGCTACTGCCTCAATTCCTACCAAACTATATACTGTCATTGACATTCGGATGTGGCTTTCTCCCTCTGAAAGGATTCAGTGTGTCATTTTCAAAGGGACGACCATAGCTCGAACGCAAAGCCAGCTCCGGGTGTGATGTACACGGGCCTCCATGATCTGGTCTGTGCGCACCTGCCCAAGTCCCCTCCCAGCCCTAGCCACACTCACCCCCTTGCCAATCCCTGTACACACTGCATGGCAATGAATGCTCAAGTGTGACACCCACTGGGAAGGGATGGACACATGTGACTTAGGACTTTGGTCACAGCATCCAGGCCTCCCAGTAATGCCTCTGTTTCAAACTAGTGGTAGAATCAGGAACTCATGGCTTACCATGATCATGCTGCTGAGGGTCTTGCCGTACATCTTCGTGAACTGACACTTGATAAGATTTAAGTCAATTTCGCTTCTTGAAACGATGTTTCTTATCAGGGTTCCATCACGCGTCCCTGCTCCCTGGACAAGACGCAGCAATCAACAATCACTGCTGGCCCTTCTGGTCCATCTCTGTGATGAGGGACGCATCTGTGCTTTGGGTGCAGGGGGCCTTACGGGGGGATGGAGATGCAGGAATGAGCCTCTGCTTCATCGGGTGAAGCACTGAGAGGGGTACTTTCATAGCTCAGGATCTCCATTCCCTCAATCTCTTCTCCCTCACTGGCCCACGTATCAGCACCTATTGGGAGCCAGATGTCCCAAAGTACACTGTGTGTTGGCTTTGCCACGTCAGACTCTAGGCACAGAATACTCACCACTACAGGAATACGACATCTTCCTAGGGTAGCGACATCATGAAGCTCGGCTCAACTGGCCAAGTCACAAGCAGGACCTTCCTGCTTACTTTCATCTTTGACTAGTCTCATGTCAGATGGCCAAGGGAACCCCATGCCCTCTCTCACTTCCTGGCCATAGAACTTAGGACTCTAATTGCAGGTGGTACCAACAAGCACAGATCAGAGAAGGTGGCCACTGACTTCAGTCTCAGGGAATCACTTTGAATGTCTATTTTCCAGTTTGGTTCCAGGTGCCGGAAACTTCACCTGATACAAGTAGCTTGGATGTCTGTTTGAATGGCTAGTGCAGCCTCTTGGACAACAGACAAACCCAGATTGGCATATCTGAGATGCACACGAAAGTTGAGTGCTGTGTGTGACAATCTCCCTCTGAATTTCCATTCAAAGGGCGCCTTGACTTCCTGCTCTCTCCAGGAAGTCACTTGGTGGGATAAAAAGGACAGGTGGCCTGGCTTGGGTTCAAATCAAGACTCTGCCACTTATCAACTGTGTGACCTTGACCACAAGCCCTACTTTCACCATCTCTAGGATGGCAGCTATGACACAGGTCTCACAGGATTGTGATAGAAGATCAGTGCAATGAACACCTGCGAAAACACCTGCTCAGATTCACCCTCACGAGGTGTGGATTCCCTTCTCTGGACTCAGTTTGCCCTTTGAGAACTACAGCATTCTGATCACAAGAGGTTGGAATAATAGAAGACACAGTGTTGAAGACAGTAGTGGCTCTGAACACCTTGGCTTTGTAGTTGGTGCCGAGTAGGGCTGACAATAAAGGGCACAAAAGGCAGAATAGTTACCTTCAAGGCGAAGTAAAGTCGCTCTGCAAAGTAGCTGTGGAGGTTCCGGGTGCATTTCACTGACAAACAAGAAAGCTCTGTTAACACTAGAGGTTGTAGGTGGCATTGTGTACATGTTTATTTATTTACGTCCTGCCTTGGGTCTTAAGGGCCAGCATTATGCAATTCTTGGCCTATTTATTTATGCTTTGCCTTGTTCAAAAACAAGAGGCTTTGCATTGGGTGGGGCGGGACAGGGAAGGAAGCCTGGGGCACTGGGCACAGGTCCGAAGGCACAGAGCAAGCAGGCAAAGCATGAGGTGTAAATGCACTGGGGTCCACAGGGCCGGCCCGTGGGAGCCTGGCTCTGTCCAGGGCAGCCCCTAGGCTCTTACACTCCAGAGCCAGCTTTGCCAAGAATCCGGCCACTCAGCTCCACAGAAGAGCCATGGTTATAGTCACCACCGGCCTCGGAATGTCCACTTTACCTGTCGCTTATCAGTAAGGTCCCTGCATTTGAATTTCCATGTGACAGATGGGGCCCAGCCCCAGAGCACTAAGGGCATCAGAGAGTGGGCTCCACACTCGCTTTCATAGATGCTGCTGCAGAGACTCGGCATCTGGGTCAGGGAGGTTGGCACTCTAGCCCAGGGCAGCAGAAAGAGTGTGGGCTTTGCTTGAGGTAGGCCGGTGTTCGACAGCCTGCTGATGGCCTGGCATGACTTCATTGTCTGACCTGCCTGCCTTACCCAGTCCTCATCTGCGAGGGGGATGATGGGAGTCTTCAAGGAGAATAGGAAGCGGCCAGCACAGGAGGGAACTGCACACCCTGCTTTTCCCTGTCCGAAGATTTACCAGGAGGTCGTTCAAACTCCATGCAGGGGCTGACTCACTGAGATTGGAGCGGGGGGTATGCTGAGATGCTCCGACATAGATGGGTTTTTATCACAGCGGTCAAAGCCTGCTGGGGAGTGTCAGATGCCCCGGGCCACCCTGCAAGACCCAGGCACACCGTGGAGCTCCCCTGACTGTCCAGCACCGGACGGGGACAGCCTGGTGTGGAGGTGAGTGTCCTAGCCCCGGGGCCCTGACCTTGGCTCCATCACGGCAGGGAGGAGAGGAAAAGTCCCTCTGCCCCTGGGCCTCAGCTCTTTGCTGTGCCACGGTTCCCCTCCCTGTGATCTCAGTTCTGGCCCCCAAGATGTGGTCAAGCTTTAGGGAAGGTTCTCAGTGCTCCCCAGCATCAGCCCATCAATCACTCAGTTTGGACTCCAACTATGCATCATCATTTCTTCGATGAGCAACCAAGGAAGAGACTAGGCTGCTGGCTCAGGTCTAGACAGGTGGCTTTCTTCAGGGCTTCACAGCCAGATCCAGAATATTCCCCGTGTGGCTGTTGGAGGGGAGCACAGGCCCTGGGTCTGACATAATCCTGCAAATGCACACACACATTCACATACTCACTTATTCTCACATGCCTCCTGCTCACACTAACACTCACACTCACACTCACACTCACACTCACATAGCACAGGGATTACGTGGGCAGTACCGAGAATAGTCCTTGGTGGGACACGCCACACGGAAGACACGGGGGGTAGAATAATTCCAGTGTCCTGGGCTGAAGGGTACATGTGCGTGGCCTGGAGGTGGCCAGCGGTGGTCCCTTGAAGGTGGACGTAGGGACCCAGTTGCTTGCTATTGCCACCCCGGGCACTGCCCCACTGCCGAGTCCCGTGACTGTGGACACCCGCGTGTCTGAGCACCGAGCCCCATCTCTTACCCACTGTGAGCATGGCCTCCTCCAGGGAGCCGTGGGTCTCACTCTTGATGCTGTCCTCAATGCTCTTGCTGGCGATTTTCTCATATTCCTCAAACACTGTAGAGAGACATCCTCTCTTAAGGGATATGCGGTCTCAGTGCGACACCCCCGGCGTCTCAGATCAGAGACTGCATACCCACGTGCCGCCCCTGACTTCCACCTGTTTACCGGGGAAAGGGTCCCTTTCCCTGGCTCTCACCCCAGCTGCATGACTAGACAAGGATGCACACTGGATAGCATGAAGGGAGAGGCCCTGTGGCCAGGGCGCCCTGCGCCGCCTTACATTGCCTCCTTCCTTCCCCGGTACCTCTCATCAGGTGCGTGGCACTGCGTGTGCACAGGATGGTGATGAATTTCATCTCGTCAGTCCCGTGAATCTTCTCGCCCGCGGCGTACAGATCCTAGCATTGGGACAGCCGCAACAAGCCAGTGAAGGGGAGCAAGGAAGTGAGGTCCCCCCGCCCCCCGACCCACCCACCAGGTCGGTTAAAATCCCTTCTGGATACCGGGCCAGAAGCCACTCTGCCAGCTCCCCTGCCTCCCCCTGGGGCTTTGCTCTGCCTCTGGGCATCTCCAAGCACTCTGCCAGCAGGCAGAACTATGGCGATCTGAATGTGCCCAGTGGGTCCTCAGAGGCCTAGAGTCCCAGATTGGGCTGTTCCAGGACAGAGCTCCAGTGGACCCCTCCCAAGTCACTCCCCTTCTTGCTTTCTGAGTGTCTCCGACACCCTCACTTTCCTCCTGGGACACCAAGGAGATAAAGGTCTGCAGAGAGCGGGGCTGCGTCCTGGCCTAGCTTAGTGCCAAAGAGAACCCGGATGGGCAGAGGGGCTGAGTGAGGCTTCCAGGCATCAGCCCCAGGAGTCTAGATGGCAGAGGGTGGGGCAGGAGGCCTGCAGGGCAGAAGCAGCTGAGGGTGTATGTAGCCTCACCTGTGCATCTTGGACGGCCAGTCCTGGGTCCACAAAGCCGCTCACGTCATCCCTGCTGCCCTAGGAACAGGAAAGGTGACGATGTAAGGCAGGCTAGCCCAGCAGAGCAGCTGAGGCAGAGGGGAGAGCTGGGCAGGAGGGAAGGCAGGGCTCTACAGCTTTCTGGCCATGGGCACTTCAGCAGGCCAGTTACCCTGCCCGGGGCCAGGTTTTTTCATCTGTAAAATAAGAGTAGTAACGGCTGCCTCCTAGGGAGCTGGGGGAATCAGTGAGCTGAGGTAAGCAGAGTGCCTGGCAAGGGCTGTGTGTGTGAAGCACCCCCTAGGGGACAGGGCACTTTCCTCCCAGTTCTACGGCGCCCCCATGTGGCTGTCAGGGAGGTGCAGGTGTGAGAATCCTCCAACCACGCAGGGAGGTAGGTACCCAATGAGCCCAGGCCGCTGGGGCTGTACCTCGGCCCTCGCTCCACCCCACCCCAGTAGCTCTGCCCAAGAACTGCTCCCCGGGGCCCAGCTGATGGGGTCCTCCAGGCAAGGGGCTCCCAGCAGCCTGGGCTGTGATACCTGCAGGAGGCACACCAGGATCCTCTCCAGGTAGCCGCTGGTGTCTGCCTGGATGTCTTCCTCCAGGCTGGCCCCATAGTCTGCAGGGGAGACAGGACCGTGAGGCACAGACCCGCTTTCCTCCTCCCAGCCCCATTCCCCGCGCTTCCCCCAGTTAAAGCCTTCTGGTAAGAATGAGTCACGTGGAGTGGACATACTCCCCAGGTGTCTGAATGGCAGAGGCCCCACCTCCTGGTGGTCACTCAGAATGAGGAAGCAACGCAGACTGCCAGCCCAGCTCCGATTGCAAAGGTGGGTCAGGCCAGAGAGCCCCTCCAGGGGCTGCCTCCTGAGCTCTGCTTCATGTGCAGTTTGGCAAAGCCAGAGCCTTCAGGCACATTGCCCACTGGGCAGACCACGGGGAGGACATGCTGGCCTCCGTTTGCCTTGCATCCTGCAGACTCCATGATAGCTGGCCTGTGGTCTACACCCCCCATTGCAATGGGGCCCCCGCACGGTCCCCAGGGTCAGCCTGTGTCCAGCCAGGAAGGAGCCAGCCCCATCCAGCACGGACACAGCCCGGGGCCCACCGCACTGCCATGCCCTCAAGGGACAGAGAGTTTAGGGTGCGTGCCCCTCTCCCCCAGCAGCCCGTGGGCTTCAGGGGGCTTAGAGACCATCAGGCACAGGACTGGGCATACAGTAGGTGCTTAGCACCCATGTGTGGAAAGGCCCAGAAAGGGTCTCTTCCAGTGTGGCTCAGTGCACCGCTTGTCCCTCATCCCCTGCCAGGCTGCCAAAGCTTGTGGCCATTTCCAAGTGAGCCTCGACCTCAGGCCTCACACCTTCCCTCACCTTCCTCGTAAGCCTTCATTATCTCCTGCAGCTGGTTCTTGGTCCGAGAAGCCAGGATTTCAATGATGACGCCCTCCTTGGTTCCCAAGCCCTGTGGATAAAAACCTCTGTCTGCTGGAGAGCTCTGCCCGTGCCCTCCTGCTCTGTCCACACCCTCTTAACTAGAGGCAGAACCGGTCACTGCTCTGCCCCCTCCGATGGGGGCCTTCACTGGGGGGTGTTTCTGGAGGAAGTCGCACGTGTTCGTCTCCAGTGGTGGATCCTGTGGGCAGGTGAGGCGATGGGAAAGTTCTGTTTTGGCTCTGCCCTCCATGCTGGTTGGTCTCCAGCTGGGTCTCTCCACCTCTCTGAGCCTAAGGCTTCTCTCCTCGGGATAAAAAGCTGCCCACCCCGAAGGAGGATTAGAGATAACAGATGTCAAATGCTGGGGCCGCACACTCAGTGAGTGTCCTTTCTATGGAGATGATTCTTCTAGCCGGACCCTGATTCGCTCCTTGATCATCTGCGAGGGCGGAAGGAGAAGTGGGAGTAATAGGAAATCCGAGAGACCAGGCAGAGACCGCAGACGTAGCTCTCTATTTCTTGCACACCTGGTCTGGCGCTGTCCTGAGAAGTGCTGAGTTTGGCTTCCTCATGGCGGGGGGGACGGCAGAGGCCAGCCGGTCTGGGTGTGGGGGTAGTCTGGGCAGCAGGCTGCAGGCTCAGCTGGCCCGGTCTTTTCAAAAGGTGGCTCAAGGGGAGCTCAGAGCTCCCAGTGCCAGGCTCTCTTGGGAAAGGTGTCCCAGGCAGCGCCCCCACCCAGTCCTCCTAGGTGTTTCTGCCCCTCCCCCACCCCACCTGCTTAGTTACCTTCATTGCATCGTGCAGCTCCTTGGCTTCGTATCTGTATGGTGGGCACATGAGGGCCACGATGAGCCTCTCAAACTTGCCACTCAGCTCTGACTTCAAGGTCTCGGTGAGATCCTAATGCAAGAGAAGGAAGGACAATGTTCTGGGTGTCCTGCCCACCTGAGTGTGGACAGCAGGGTACCAGCCAGTCCTGGGGGCTCTGGCTGGACTCCCCTGTGGGCTCTGCCACGCGCTGGTGCTGGCTGGGGTTTCTTGGGCCAACCGCTTTGCCTCTCTGAGCATCATCATCCTTACCTGTGAAATGGAGACAGAGATGCTCCTGCTTTATACCATTGCTTAGGGGACTGGCCGAGAGATGTGTGTGGCTCGACTCAGCTCTCAGTGCAGTGTTGGGCCGAAATACACATTTCTCATTGCTCATCATCAAATCCCGTCACACCCCATGGGCACTGAATAGATGCATGATTGAATTAAGGAATCTATCTCATGTGTGTCTCCTTCTAGGGACACTGGTCTCCAGAAGAAGCCATGAGACCACACCCAGCTGATCTGCACGACACAGCAAAGGACCAAGGACCTTGTCAGACCTGGATTTAAATCCCAACCTTGTTGCCTGTAGGCTCTGGGATCTTGGGTCACTTATTCTACCTCTTAAAACATCAGTTTCCCCTAATGCTGAATGCAGAGAATAATGCCAGTTGTGAAGATTAAGAGAAAGAAATTAAAAAAAAAAAGTTAAAAGGACACTGGTGCCCCCTGGAATATTTAGACTTCATCATTCACTTTCCTGCGTCAAATCTTCCAACTCATGACATGCGTTGGTGGAGGCTTCCTCCAGCCACGGCTATGTGTGCCTTTGTTCCTGTGTTTGGCTAGTGCCCCAGTGCCTGGCTCTGACCCGGGCTGGAGGAAGGAAAAGGGAGAGAGGAAGGGTCCAGCCTGTGTGCTCCCCGGAGCTCCCTCGAGGCAGAGGGAGGAGGCACGGGGCACAAGAAGCTCCAAAATGAAGGGAGAGTCCTGTGCCATAGAACGGAGTGGAGCTTGGCCTGCACCTCTGTTTGTGGGCAAGAGAAGGGCATTCCAGGCTGTGGGAACAGGGTGAGCAAGGTACAGAGGCCGGGAAACAGCTCAAGGACAGGGCTGTGGAGCCAACGTCAAGGAGCTCGGTGAGAGAGACGGGGTGGAGAGGAGGAGGTGGGCAGGCTGGACTGTAGAAGGTCTGACACCAAGCCAGGGGTGTGAGGAGCCATAGGTAGCTTTTCCCAATAAAACGCAGGATGGCTAGTGAAATTCTAACTTCAGATAAGCAATTAATAATATTTTTGGTGTAAGCGTGCCCTATCCGCCCCATGGTTCTAGAAGCTGGCCTCGAGACAAGGGCCTCACCCAGAACAGAGCTGCAACCCCCCCAGGCTGTCTCCAGCCACAGCAGTGCCCGCCCACCCCCCCCCCGAGGAAACCGGACTCCCGTCCCACCCCTACCTTGCCGAACTGTGCCTTGAAGGACTTGGCGATCTGTTGCCGCTGTGCGTTGCTTCTCTTCGTGAGCACATCGATGATGGCCTGCTCGTTGGTCCCTGCAGGGGGGCACAGTGTGAGCACCCCCACTGCTCCCAGGGAGGCTGGGGGCTGAGCAGGAAGGAGGGAAGCTGCCTGGTGGCCAAGAAGTGGGCACACACCTCCTAGATAGCTCCAAAACCTGACGATTTCATGGTGTCGATAAGACACCTAGGCCGGAAATCCTTCCCCTTTCCCCACCTCCTACCCACACAGTGTTGGGGTGCTGCCTGGGGCCAGTCTCAGGGTGATAGAATCTGAGGACCCTCTGGTCATCTGGTCTGCTCTGGACGTCGCCTGGGGCCTTTGGAGCTTGGACAGTGAGACCTCCCATCCTGTCTTCTCTTGTGCTAATGGCAGTGGGGAGAAATAAGACCGAGGGCCTGGCAAACTGGATCTTAGTCCCATCCCAGCAGCCTGTGGGCAAGCAGCCTCATCTCCCCGAGCATCCCTTTCCTCCTTTGGGAAGTGGAGATGACGGCAGAGATCTCACAGGAAGTAGAGGTCATGAGCATGCTGTCAAGATTCACCTAGAAACGGTGCTTCCAGGCCCTGGCTGGATTCAGGAACGTGCACACCAGAGACGAGGAAGGAGGCCCCCTGTGCCCAGCCCAAGCAGAGGGGGGAAGCTGAGTGTCCCAGTTCAGCCCTACAGAACCTTCAGCTTCATCCCTTCCAAAACTTACAGACAGTGACAGGCGGGTCCAGAGTTCCTGAGGCCATTCTGCGAGAAGCCTCAGACCGAGCCGGGTGAAGTTGCCCACCCAGGGACGCGTAGGCACGCACAGCAGATGGCCTCCTCTTCCCGCCCAGGGAGGCACAACCACCCTTCCCCTCCTCCTGCCCTGGGGGGTGGGGGCGCATGTAGACCAGGGCTGGGGGAGGGGGCCTGTGTGCTTCTCTGGGTGCCGGGAGTCAGTCCCAGACTCCCAGGCTGTCCCCTGACATCCCCTTTGCAGAGCCGTGAACGCAGCGGTCTTGAGCAGAGCGGGCAGGCGCTCCCGAGGGAAGGCGGAGGACGTCCACTCACCAATCCCCTTCATGGCTTTGTAGAGGGTCTCCGCGTCGGGGTCTGGGTTAAAGTGGGGACTGCCCTTGATGGTAACACCCTCCTGTTCAATCTGTAAAAGAACCCAGGCCTGTTCAAAGTGGGAAGGCAGGGAAGGCAGAGCAGACTGCCAGCCCACCTCGCAGGCTGCCCCTGCTGGGTGAGCGCACAGTTCAGCCTCTGCGGGCCACTGGTGGAGGATCTCAGCTTTCGGTGCCAGCGCCAGCCCTGGGGGGTTGGGGGACACAGACTTGTGAAGGTGGCTGGCACTGTGGCCACTTTCAGAGCCGCCGCCCAGCCTCTGGTGTCGGGAGGAGGGAAGAACAAGAAGGAGGTCCTAGGATGGGGGGCTGGCCTGAGAAAGGAGCAGCAGGGGCTTGGGGGGACCTCCTTCAGAGTCCAGCAATGGTTCTATTGGGATGACAAGGGCAATTAACCACGACGTGCTCCTGCCCACCTGGCTGCCTTCAGAAGAGGCTTACAGTTTCCCTGCCTCAACCTTCTCACCAGACCTGTTCTTGGATCTTTTGTGAGAAGAATCCTGAGGCTGGGGAGGAGGTTTACCTGAGATGATGGGAGCTTGGGAGGAGAAGGGGGGGGGGGCTGCAGGGTGTGTGTACAAAGGAACACGAATGGCAGTATATCCTATGACGTGTAGCTTGGGGTTAGACCTCCTGGGGGGTCTCTGACTCAGGCCAGCCACCCAGGAGTCAGCTGTGTGGGGAAGCTACTATTAAGTGAGGGTTCCCTGAGAGACCACAGCCTGCCTGGCCTGGTTGTGAGGAGTCAGTGGTTCTCCTCTGGACTCTGTGGGACTGCCAGATCACCTCCACAGAACCGCTCTTTGGTTAATAGGCTGGCACCACCCAGAACCACAGCTTGTGGGAGGGAGCCACATAACCTCTCCTGCCCCTGCCCCTGCCCTGGGGTGTGGGCTCCGATCAGGCCAGGCCTCTCCCAGCTAGTGCCATCTGAGGGCAGGGAGCAGGCCACACCTACCACACCCCCCCAGCTCCCTCCAGCACGGTTGACAGGCAGTGGGAAAGGACAATGCACCCCAAACCACAAGGACAATGAGCAAGCGAGGACAGGCTTCATGGAGTTGAACGCGCTACCTGGAGAGTGGGCAGACAAGGCTGGGAAGAGAGGCATGGTCTGAGCTCAAGCTGCCTCCTTTCTGAGAAGCGGGTACTTAGAAGAAGGTAGAGAGTCAGGGCACCCAGCTGAGCATCCTGACAGCTTAGGGTCTTTGCAAGTCCCCAGGCTCATGGAGGACAGAAGGTTAGGTTTAGAAAGAGCTGCATGGTGCTCTGAAAATTGTGATATAAACAAGATAACCAAAGCACTTGGGCCCTTGACCTGGGCCAAATCTTTAATTCAGGGCTTGCCCGAAGGCTCTTTAGATTTGTGCCCTGTAGAATTTCACAGATGCAAATGAATGATCTTTTTTAAGTATGTGTTTGCGGGAAAGGGATAGTAGAGGAGTGAAGGGAGATTGGACATTGGAATCTGAAGAAGACTCAAGAGATCCTTCAACGGAAAGGAGTTTAGTCCCATTGTGTTTGGTCTCTTGTGCACTTACACACCTACTTCTTCTATCTGCCCCTCATCCACTCATCTACTTTCCCACCTACCCACCCACCAGCCCACTCATTCATTCATCTATTCATCCATTCTCCACCCATTCAACAGCCACATCCACTCATCCATCCACCCATCCATCCACCCATTTAATCACCACATCCATCCTTCCTTCCTCCCTCCCTCCCTCCTTTCCCTTCCTTCCTTCCTTCCTTCCTTCCTTCCTTCCTTGTCCTGATTAGATACAGGGCAGATTGCCATCTGTGGGGTATATATGAGGATATTCCTTTTCAGTAAGAGGTAAAAAGGCTTTCTATACCCTTTGGTTGAATTTCCAATGTCTGGTAACAAATTTTCCTATCTCATTTCTTAGCACCAGGCACAAGAAACATTTCCTTGCTCAAAGTCCATCCAGAAGAGCCTGTGTGGTCCCAGAGGTTGCCCAATTGTGTGCATGAATACATTGTATCCCTTGTTTGTGGAGTCTGAGCTGCTGTTACTACCCGTAGCCATTTGATCATCTCCTTTGGGCCAGGCCCTCTGTGCAAGATGCTGTAGGTGTTGTAAGTGCAATGCTGCACAACTCCTTGACTTCTCCGATACTTGCACTAGGTAGGTATGAATGCCCCATTTTATAGGACAGGGAGTTGGGCTCAGAGCACTTGGCAAGGTGACACAGCTAGTAGGTGGTGGTGTCGGCACTGGTCCCAGAATCTGACTCAGAAGTTGAGCTCTGTGTACTTCCCTCTTTCAATGATGACTATTGATGACTCCACCTTTTCGAGACAGTGAACTTCCCTAGAACCCTTCACTGAAGGAAGCCTTGCCCACAGGGTCTCTGGGGGCTCGAGCTCTGGGTGCCACCCGTGAGGGGCTTTCTCCCTGCCCCCAAACTGGCAGTAAACGTGCAGTGACTGAGTCACTGGGGAGCAGCCCATTCAGCAGGTCTGAGGTCAGCTCGGGCGGTGGTGTTAGTCGCTCCCAGGGGGGTGGTGATTTTGCAGGATTAAGAAGCCTCAGCCTCTCTGCCCACTCCGAGGTTTTAGGGGATAAAAAGTACAATTATCTGGAATCAGACCCCCGAATATAAGCAGGGAGGGATAGAACTCCAGATCTTCCTATCTGAAACACCGCGCTGTTGGAGGAAGAGTCTGTCTGGGCCCCCTGCCTGGAGTGAGCTTGTCCAGACAGGAACATTTTCACCGAAAGGATGACCACCCTGCCTGAGACTCTATCTGTAAGAGCTCTGTTCAGGGAAGCCGCCACACCTTTACCCTCCCTCGTCATGAGGCTGCCTTGGGAGACAGGACCTCATCTCAGTGAGACAGGCACAGACAGGCACCCTCTAGCTGATCTTTCACAAGCCACCCCCCACCCCCACCCCCACCCCAGTCCTGGGCCTGGTCTTCGCTGGCAGCTCAAGCTGTCCCAGGTGGGGTCTACCTGCGATCTTGCTGACCCAAACCAGTTCCCCCACTGGTTTTGGGGCAGCCAAGTTCCACCGTTTGGGCTCTGGAAATGGGTTTCTCAGAGTCTA